TCTTCCCCATTATCAGAATCTGCTCCCTCAATTCTTCCCCTGCTCCAGAACCTGAGCACTGAATTCTCCCACAGCCACTTGGATTAAACAGAAATTTTGATTCAAATTAACGGTGCAACTCAGCAACCCTAAGTCACTTCAAAATAAAATTATTGCTTCTGGGTTCTGTCTTTTAGAGAAAAATTCACCATTCAGAGCAGATTGGAGGGGGAAGAGTCCCTGTCATTAATACTGACCCTCTAACAGTGTGGGTCAGTGGCACAGCCCTTTCCTTTCATAAAATCCCAGAATGGTTTGGGTTGGAAAGGACCTTAAAGATCATCCAGCCCCACCCCTGCCATGGGCAGGGACACCTTCCACCAGCCCAGGTTGCTCCAACTTGGCCTTGGACACTTCCAGGGATCCAGGGGCAGCCACAGCTTCTCTGGGCAACCTGTGCCAGGGCCTGCCCACCCTCCCAGCCAGCAATTCACTTCCCAATCCCCAAAGGAACTGCTCATCTCCCTGTGGCCAAACCACCCTCCTGCTGTCCATAGCCTCCTGCTGATGCCACATCCTTATCAATCCAGCATAAAAATTAATGGTTGTTTTGAAACTCCACCAACTGACTCTTTTCCCTCAGTTGGCTGCCCCTGGATTTCTCCCATTTCCATCCCGCCTGGCGAGCGCCGCTCGTCGTTGCTCCGGGATCCGATACCACGGCCCCTGAAACATTCCAAAGGCTTGGACCAGAACCCGGACGCCTGCTTAATACTGATTTTATGACCCTGTTGAATAGCATCCTCCTCTGTTTTGCACATACTTTTACAATTTTGAATGTGTTCAAGCGAGAAGAAAAGAAAAACAAAAACCGCCCGAATTTCACCCGAATGCTCCAACAGGGCAGCCACGAAGAGAAGCTGCACGGAAGGAGCGAAATCCTGACTTCAGAAGACCAATAAAAATAATTGGATTCGGATTCCAGGCCAGTAGTTTCTGGGCTCTATGTATTTTTGTGATTCCAGCTAAACTAATCTTTTTTTTTTTTTTTTTTTTCTCCCCCTGAAAATTATATCCAGAAGGAAGAGTCCTGACGAGCAGAAACTTCGGATTGTGCTCGGTAGTTTCTCTCCCTCGTGTTCTCCTTCCAGCTACACCTTCTGTGGAAAGTGAAAACTGCCACAAATCTGACTCACTGCTCCAATCCTGAGAGATAGCAGGAAATATATAGGTAGGCTTAATTCCCAACCCTTTCCCAGATTCAGTTTTTAAAAAACCTTGCTGAAAAACAAAGCTGCAGCTCTCGGCTCGAGATTGAGATCTCCTGCAGCGAGCCAAGGCACCTCTCCATTAGCTACTGTTATGATAACCTATTAATAATCATTTTCATCTGGAAAAAAAAAAACCATGTTTATTTGTTGGGGTTTTTTGGGAATGTTACGTGCCACGAAGAATAGATAGCAACCCCGGGATTAGTGATTCCATGAGGAAAATATGTCGTGCTCACCAAGCCACGGAGCTTTCCCTCTCCAAAATAACTATTTATTTTTAATTTTGCCCGCTGAACTTCTATGGTGTCAGGCTTTTTTTTTTGCATCAGATGTGTTTCATCACAGCCACCTAAACTGGTTCACTGTACACTAAGAAAACAGGATACGTTGCAGCAGCAGCAGCGTTTCGAAGCTTGAAGTGTTTATGAATGGAAGGCGAAAAATAGAGATTAATTTGGGTTTAACCAGGTAATCAGGAAAAGGGGGGGGGGGCAGACTGAGATTGGGTGAAGCTTTAAAAACTACATTTTTCTTTCAGAAATGACTTTCCAAGCCAGACAGGCAGGTTTGCCCAGTAGCATTCTCAACCCAGGGTGAGGAATAGTCACTCTGGAGCCCAGCCAAGCCCAGTGTAAATCTGTTTTGTTCAGGAAAAGGAGCCAAATTGCTTTTATACAACATCTCCAGGTTTCGGGCGACCTGTGACAATCTCAGCTCCCGCTCTGAGGGTCAAGAAAAATCAAGGGCTCTGTGGGGTTTTTTTTAAATTCTAAACAACAACACAGGCTGAGCAACACATGGCAAGCACGTGAAACGATGCTGAAACTCAGCTGAGGGCTTTTAAGTTTTGGCTGGAAATATTGGTGGGGAGAAATGAATCCCCCTGCTCTGGGGGACTCGCTGTGACCCTCCCACAGCCAGGAGGACAACATGGATGATGTCCTAATGTCTGACACAGACTGTCTTGCAGGGTTTCATTTCAGGTGCTGGAAGGAAATTTAAAGTATTTATGAAGTGTCAAGAATGAGAATTTCCTGCTCAGGAGGGGGAGAGAGTGTCAGTTTGCCGGTGGCTCTGACGGGATTTTAATGGGGCTGGGGGGGGTGATATCGGTGAAGAGGGAAGTGTCACCACTCCAAACCATTCCTTATTCTCCACCAGGGGTTTCAAATCACCTGGTGGACAGGGGGAGCCTCCACTCTGCCCACAAGCACCGTGAACTCTCAGCCACTGCCCACACAACGCTCCTGGCCTCGCATTATCACCAGTGGCAGCTGAACTTGTTCGAGCTCAAATATTACACGGCAAACAAAGTTTGGGTTAATTTTCCTCCAGCGAGGTATCAAAGGAAGCAATGCCCTTTGAAGCAGCCACCTTCTGCTTTAGGCCTTATACAAATTCAACAGAACAGCACCTCAGAAATCCCGTACGAGTGCAAACAATCCCCACCTTTGGAAAACAATCCCCTGTTCAGGAGTAAACAAAAGCATACATTAGTCACCGCTGCTGCGGAGATGGGCGGCCAGTGCAGGTGATGAGATTTAACCTCCAAGCCTGACTAATAGCACGCAGCATTCCCAGCTCACTCCACTGCTTAAAGGATCCCGAGCCCCTGGATATCACGCCACAGGCAAGGTTTGTGTCTGGGGGCGAGGGACCAGCTACTGGCAAACCACTTCCAGCAGGGTGAGGGGCTCCACGACGCTCCCTGCCAAGCTCTGCTGCATGAATAGGGACTGTTTTCTCCCAGCTGCTGCATTTTGACCTTGAGACTCACACAGTTCACTGTTATGATTTCTAGCTTCATTACCATGGCCAGGAACTGAACTACAGGTTTGTTTTTATTAGCTTCTCCGCCACTCTGCCAGCTATTCATTTGAATCTTCTAAACAGTCATCTCTGAATCATAATGCAAATTCCATTTACTGAAAAGGTGGTACCTTTAATATAACAAATGAACATGTTTAATGACTGATACTTTCAGACATTACAGCATCCCTCATGTTTTCAGTAAATGGATATAATTTTCTCTGCATTACCCTATTATTATTCTTTGCTAGCATTATGAAGCTACGTTCTCAGCTGCGGGTGTTTTCCACCGAGTGCACTTGAAGACGGCCCAAACAACACAATTTGAAAGACATCTGCCTCTGGATCCTCAGCTGAAAATGCTGCAGGAGACAGAGGAGCTGGACTGGTGTTTTATTCTTATGAAGTATTTACTGCTCGCACGATGTTTCGGCGGGGCCACGCTCTGCCACCGTCGTGACGGTGTTTACATTGGAAGGGCATCTCCAGATGCATCTCACTTCAAAGGGAAAGAAGGGCTGGGGTGTATAATCAGGATCACTTCCTCAGTCTGAAGCCTGACCCGTCTCCCATTGGGAACAAAACACGTGGGGAGGGAGCAAGCAGAAGTGGGTCACCTTCGGAACTCCCCTGAAGGGCCGCGCGGGCAAAACCGCCCGTCGGGTGCGGTATCGGACGCTCACACAGGGAGAGAGGGAAGGGAAAACGCCAAGGAGGGGTCAGCAGTCCCTGAGCATTCCACCTGGTTCTGAGAAGGAAAGCTATGGAAGAGCAGTAGCTGCTGCCACTTGGATTTGTGAGCATTGACAGCACCTGGAATCACCCAGGAATGACACTGCGGTGTTCGGAACACCACAAAGGCCTGGCGGTTTTACTGAGAGACAAACATAAGCAAATATCACATGAAGTCACACGGGAGATGTGATGGTTTTTCATCCTTGACCTTAAGAGAGAGAGGCTGATCTTTCTTCTGAGCTCCTTCTGAGCAACAGCTCACCAGATTCCCTTCCGTGGGTCTGACTGAACCTCCCCAAACTCCCCAGGCAGGCACTAACGCAGGGGAAGCACTTAAAATAAACTAGTAGGATGGTAAATATGGTTGCTGGGAAGTTATGGGATTTGAGATTACAGCTTGGGGCCAAAGAGTGAAGTTGCAAAAGGTCTTTATGTTGGGGTTTTTTTTTTTGGATGGAGCTTTGTGCACCTGCCCACCCACGGGCGGCGTGAGCCGCACGCGTCGGGTTCTGTTTGCAGCTTCCAAACTACGTTTTCATGTAGTCCCAGCCTAAGTCAGCTCCAAATCCTGTTTGCTATTTATGCTCCAAAGGCCTTTTTATTTACATACCAGTCATTACTGGTTGTGGCAGAGGTACAGCGAGTCAGGTACCAAACCCCTCTGTTCTGTCTGCTCTCTGCCATCCCCTTTGCAGCAGACACTAACTAACAGGTCTGGTGCATCCTGAGGGAAAGAAAGGCCAGAAAACGTGCCCTGTGCCTTCAGCAGGTCAGCATGAACCTGCAGAATCTTCAGATCTATGCAGGAAATATTCGTACCAAGCAGGAAATATTAAGAGAGACTCACTCTGTTGAAGAAACCAGAAGGGGAGCCCCATCACGAGTCCCTGCACAAGCTGAAAAACTCCCATTTTAACCTCAAAATACGCCACTTTGACTTAACCACCGGCAACATCACGCTGCCCTAAACCAGCAGGTGCGGCTCCCACAGCCAAAACATCGCTTGCTTTTTCATTTTCCACCTGAGATCTGCCTGTTCAGAACCCGAAGCAGCGCCGAGGACGGGCTACGACGACACAAGGACGAACCCCCCGGGCTCATCCCACGCCTCCGGGAGCGGGGAACCCTCGGAATTCCCTGCCCACCCCCCCAGAATTCGGCAGGGCTGGGTGAGCAGAGGGTGCCAAGGGGAGGACAAGCAGGTACCTCTGCCGCTGCGGCCCACGAAGCGCAGGTCGTTGAACCGCGCCACCTGGTTCTTCATGGCGGCCGTGGCGTTCCGCAGCTCGGCAGAGTAGTTCTCGTCGTTCCCGGCCATCACCGTCACCAGCGTCCCGTCAGGAACGTCCCCCAGGGCCACCACCTGCGGAAAAATCAAGGAGCAGAGAGCCCTCAGCTCCCGTGGAATTGGGGGTCAAATCCACGTGGAAGGTCTGAGATGTCGGTCTAAGAAGCTGTTTTTGGTAGAAAGGAGATGCTTCCATTCCTATTTTGCTGCGATGGGAATCTTCTTCTCCCCACAAAACCTTGTCCCCTTTGTTATTCCTTAATCAGGCCAAATGTTTTTTGTGCAATTTTGATTATAGAATTTTAACTCTGAGCAGACAAGTTACGTGTAGACTCACTGCTGAGTGGTGTCAGCAGTGCTGGTGGCTGACATGTTACTGCACTAAAATGCTTCCCAATTCCTTTCCACTGTTCTTCCCCACATTTCCTGAAGGACCTAAGAGAGTTATTTTTAAAATATATATCATTGCACCTGTGACATTACCACAACAAATGTTATTTAAGGTGCATCTTTTTTACTCCTCAGTGTGGATTTCCCACCATTTCAAACCTTGCTTTTCTCAACAATTGGCCTGGAAAGTTTTGCACTGATGTGCCTCTGAAATACCCAGCGCCTCGTGTGCTCTGAGATGAAAAATAAGTGAAATCAGCTTTCCAAAATACACATCTGTAATTGTCAGTACGTAAATTCAATGAACAGAATCCACTGCTGGTCTCATTCACAGCAGTAGCTCCTAACAGAGCTGTCCCAGCATAAATTCAGGGTAAATCCGTGGAAAATCAGGCCTCAATCAAATGTTTAATCCCAAATTAGTGAACAACTTCTCTTTATTTCCTTTAAAAAGCAAATAATTGACTTCAGGCCCCACCTGAGGGATGGAAATCGTGGATCTGAACTAATGAAATCTGCCCTGGTTCAGCCAAAGGCTTTCACCTGGCCCCAAATGCTTGTGCTGGAGCTCCCTGGTGCCAGCATCAAACAAACATTTAGGAGCAGAAGATTCACTGCATTTTTGATGCAACAACCTGAGAGACCTAAAAATTTCTAATCTGAAATGTTCTGACTCTTGTCTGCACTTTTCACACCGATCAAACAATGGAAAACTTAATTTTTACTGCAATTTCTTGAGCAGGATGGAATTCTCTGGACAGTTTTACCCCACTGCAAGCAAATGGATATTTGGGGGGTCACTCCATTTAGTCTGGCAAAAATAAGAGCTTGGATTCAGTCCCCTATATATTGTTTTTACATCCCATTGCTGTTCCCCCAGTTAAGTCTACATGACTCTTACCACCAAAAAAAAAAAAAAAAGGAGATTATAAAAAAATCCAGCTAGTTTTTAATTCCTCTTTTGCACATTCTAAGAGGAAGCAGCCCTTCATCGTGCCCTCGGAGTTGCAGCTCGATATTTTTCCTTCCTCTTAGAATTTTCTAGCTCCTATCCAGGCAGTTAAAGTTTGTCACGGCCTGGTTTTGTTCCTCTCGGTTTCTACTCACTCTTGTCCTTTCCAAACGGGATCAGCAGCTCCTTTACTCGATCGATCCCTGATTTTTTATTGTCCAGCCACAGCCACCTCCCAGGATTTGGGAGATGCCTCCAGTCTCAGGTATTTCCCAGCCTTTCCTTCCACAGGGGGCTGAGCTCCTCACTTCTGTGCTCTCCCTTTTGTCACCAGCCACCCTTATTTTCACTTCCACATGCAAACCTCAAATCACTGGGTCAGAATTCCCTCTTTACTGTCTCTGTTTCAACTTCCTCCTCCCCGTTCCTCCCCTGCCCAGCCTGTTGTGGTTTTTTTTGCCCTCCTCTGGGTTCCAGAACGTGTTCCTGGGGCCTGCTGGGTGTTGGGCTTTCCAAATTTCCCCCTCATCTCGGCATCAATTAGTCCCTGCTCGAAATGCTTAAGCTCAGAGTCTTCTCCTTCCACAGCCACAAAATCAACTTCCAGCCCAAGGCACCCAGATCTTAAAAAAAAACCACCATAAAACCATAATACAAGCACTTGTATTCCAGGCACCAGAAAGGCAAAGGGGAAAATCGGGGCATCACCCTGCGATGCAAAGGTTTGCACGTTCATTTATGGAAATGTATTCCGGGATTTTAAAGGCTTCACAAAAGATTTTTGGCGAATCCAGGGGCAGTCGGCTCTTTTAAAGCCCAGCAGATATTTTAAAGCCCAGTTTCCAAATGGCACCGAAAGGCAAGCTCGGTTAAAAAAAAAAATCAGGAACGGGTATAAAGCTGACACAGCCCCGAAAAGAAAGTGGAGTTAAAAGTCACAGACAATAGAAACAGAAATACAAACATTTACATTAGAAAACAGACTAAACAGATAAGCTGGGACTTGCTGACTGGAGTTATCAAGGACTTTGTTGCACTCTTTACCTCTTAAAAATATGCATTTCCAGAGAAGCAAGGAGAGTATCAGCGTTGCAGGTCTGTCGGGTATCTAAATTACCTACTTCTCCCGCATCAGTCAAACCAAATTGGCCTTTTAAAATAAGATTTAGATTCTTTCTTAACAGCACTTGGACAGTGAATTTCTATAGCACCTTCTTAGTAATTATATAGTAATTTTTAAGTTTCTCGGGATCGTTCTTGAATTTAGAAAAAAAGAAGCCTGGATATTTTAATTTAGGTTGGAAACAATCTCCTGATCAAACACCACAAATGAATTTTTCTGAGGAAACACGAAGAGAAAACTCTCCATCTCTCTCTTTTTGTTCATGCAATGGTTGTTAACAAACACTAGGTAAAACTCGGGGCTTTTTTTTTTGTCAGACGCAAAGGAACGATCTGACCCGAATTTTCTAGTTCCTGGCCCAAATCATCTGAAAAAACCCTCCATGACTTTTAAAACGGCCTTTGCGAATATTCAGTATTTAGTGTGAACCCTACAAGCTTGTTTTTACGCGTGGCAAATTCTTCCAGGATTCATTTCTCAGCAATCCGCGGAGAGAGAATTTGGGAGGGGGGTGAAGATGAGGAGCACCGAGCGCCCTGGCAAGCAGGTGCCTCCCAGCCCACCATTCCAGGGGCTCATAATGAAACCTTTTCCCGAGTTTTTTTTGGGGGAGTGTTCTGATTAATTGTTTCTCTCTTGGGTGTTTCTAGGTTGAATTCTCAAACAAACTCCTGGAGAAGCTGCCGGTGGTCACGGGGGGGCTGCGGCTGCTGCGGGCGTGGGGAGCTGCGTTGGGCATCTCTCGAACCCCCCTGGCTTCGCTTCCCGCAATTTCCACAGAACCAGGACCGTCCCTGCCGCCAAAGCTCCTATTCCAGAGGAGAATCCCAAAGTCGCTGCCGGCTCGGCATCGGGACGGCCGGTCAGGAGCGGGAAGATCCAGCTCTCCTGTCCTTTCTCCATCCCTTTCCCCCGCCGGGAGATGCCCGGGGGTGGGACAGGGACACGCGCGGCCCCGCGGGGACCTGCCACGGCGGCCTCTGGCCACAGGGATCCCCCAGGAAAAAAAAGGAACACCGGGGCCTCCGCTTATCTCCCTTCCTGGCGGGGCGGAGCGGCTTTTCACTGCCTTCCAGGACCTGAACTTCCCGAGTAATTAGCAGGAGCTGCCGAGTGCGTGGGTAACAGTGTAATAATTAATCTAAATGTGGGAATTTAGGAAGTGACCCTGCCGATTAGTTCCTCCCATTTCCCCAGACTCCTATCTGCGTAAAACAAGAAGACTAGACATAATAAAACTTTGCCCTGAAGCCGCCTCCTCAGCGCGATTTCCCGGAGCTCCGGGAGCTGAGCTGATCCCCTTCTCCCTCGCCTCTCCTCTCCCAAAAAGCCGTCGGAAAAGACTCGAGCCTGGTGGCCTTCAAAACAAAGTTGTGCCGAGGCGGTCGGGGTTTAGGAGTGACCGCAAAAGAAAGCACGAACATGACAAATCCCGATCCTAAATCTAACCCCGGGGCTCCTCGGGAGCTTGCATGTCTGTGCGGCTCCCGTCTCGGATAAAAGGATAACGAGAATAATTACCTTTTCCTTTCCTAGCTCGGAAGCGTTTCTGCATCAGGGGCAAGAAAAGCAGCGCGTTCAAGAAGTCAGCGAGACAGACCCGAGTCAAAAAAAGAGCGTGACCGAGGGGAGGATAATTTTACTCCGGGGGGAGGATAATTTTACTCGGAGCCCGGTAACGGGAAGGCTGGAAAGAGCAACAAGCACCCGGGGGGCACCGCTCGGCAGATTCCCGGCGGCCCGTGACAGGAGGGAGCCGGGATACCCTCTCCCCTTCCCTCCTCCCCATCTTTTTTTCCTCGGATTTAGCAAGGAACTCTGGAAACTGGAGAACTCCGAGCGGCCGTAGGATCTGCCCAGGTTAGGCCTCGATTTTTGCTGTTATTAAAAACAGCCAATAAAAAGGGAAAAAAAAAAAAAAAGAAAATTAAATATGCGTTTTGGACTGCTGGTGGGTTGTTTTGATGGGGTTTTTTCCGCCCCCCGAAGAGCCCCTGGCAGGGTATACGCGGCCCGCGGAGGAGGGCGGGTGTCCCCCGTGGGTGGCAGAGGGACCCGCCACCGCCGTGGGCGACTTCTGGGCGAGCCCGGGGCTCCTTCAGCTCCGGGGGCTCCTTCAGCTCCGAGCCGCCTGCATCCGTCTGCAGCGGGCTGCGGCATCTGGTCCCCAGGGCAGCCAAACTCCTCGGCTCTGGCTTTTTTTTTTTCTTTTTCTTTTTTTTCCCCCTCCCTTGAGCAGAGCCGCCTCTCGCTACCGGAGTTATGAATGGGGAGAGCAGGGAGGCAGCGGCCGGAGCGAAACCTTCCCAGCCCGTCGCATTCCTCGGCTGCCAGCGCTCGCTCCTGCCCGCAGCGCGGGCGAGAGAGGGAGGATGGAGAGAAGGGTGGAAGGACGGATGGGTGGATGGATGGGTGGGTGGAAGGAAAGCTGGAAGGAAGCGAGAAGGAGGCGCAGCGGGACCACCGGGGCGAGCCGTCCCTGCCCGGGCGCGGCTCCGAGCGCCCCGTGCCCCCCATCCTCGGGGCGCACACGCTGCCCCCCATCCCTCCATCCCTCCCCTGCCCACCCCTGCGCGTTTCTCGGACATACCTTGAAGGCGATGGGCAGCGTCTTGTTGCAGCGCCAGTGGGTGGGCAGCACGGAGCAGAGGAAGTTGGGGCTGTCGGTGCGCACCAGCTCCCCGGGGTGGTCGGCCAGGACCTCCACCATGCTGCGGTCGGCGCTGCGCAGCTTCCCCGGCAAAGCCCCGCCGTGCTCGGCGCCGGGCAGCGCCAGCGGCTCGCTCATCTTCCCCGGGCTCAGCGTGGTGGAGGGCGGCGTGAAGCGGCGGCTGGTGCTGGTATCTACGGGGATACGCATCACAACAAGCCTTTTGAGTGAGGGACCTCCACGGAGTTTTTACAGAACAGCGAGGCGAGCGTAACTCTTCAGCGAGCCGCTCTCTGGGGACCAACATAAACGGATACGGGCTGAGGACCCCGCGGGAAACTTGTTTCTACGCCAGTCCCCAAAGTTAATTTTTTGCTGAGATGATAGAGAGCGCGCCCGGGCTTTAACTCTTGGCTTCCTGGCGCGGCGGAACAAACGCGTTAATCCGATAAACCCAAGGGGCGTCCGTGCGCGGCTTTACCGCGCATCGAGTCCGCGGCAGCGCCACGAAAAGTTCTCGGGGAGAAAGCTCATTCCAAACTCCCAAGTTAAAAAAAAAAAAAAAAAAAAAAGGGAGGCGACCAAGTAACAAGAAACACGCGCAAAGCCCGGGCTTCCCCGTCAGCCGCCTATCAGTTTCTTCCAGGTGATTTCTCTACAGTCCCAAGAGAAAATAAACCACACCGGCGTCTTCCGCGGGCAAAAATGGCTCTTTTGGAGAGGCAAATTCGGGGTTGTCTTCAGAGAAGGCGGTACGAGAGCGAGACTTTGTGATCAAAGGTCAGCTGGCTACAACTGTGCATATATATTCACGTCCACACACGCACCACACACACATATACCGGACTTCATAAAATATTTACAGTATAATCTGTAGAGAATTTAAACACAAAAGGAATCCATTAATGTTCTCTGCGAGTTTTTTTTTTTTTTTTTTTTTTTTTTTTTTTTAAGCAGCCTTGAAAATGAGCTTCAGTAGTTTGGTTCGCGCCGCTCTAAGAGTAGTCGTGTCATGACCTCTCAATTATTCTTGCGCAAAAAAAAAAAGGAAAAAAAAAAAAAGAAAAGCGAAAAAGAAAAGCTCAGTGCATTGCATTCAAGCTTCGAATCTCTATCTTTGGTGCAACGCCTTTGGTGAGTTTGAAGAAAGGTCGCAGCTGATCGCAAGCTCTGAGGCTAAAAGGTCCACAGCTGAAAACTTGGGTTTGGGGATGTGGGTTAAATTGTGGGTTCTCTCTGTGGTTTTGTGTGTGCAACAGCGCTCTCTCTCTCCCACTCACGTCCTCCTCAGCAGTCAAACCAACTCAGTCAAACCTCAACAGTCTGCAACAACTTCGGCACTCATTGCCAATTCTCTCTCTCTCTTTTTTTTTTTAGTATCTGAGACAGTCTTCCTCTAATTCGGCCACAGGAACCGGCTGCTTAACAGCATTTGAACCGCAGCAGGTGGAAGCCTGATCTCGGAAGCATGGCTTTTCTCTCGTCCGGCGGGATGGACACGGCCAACCTGCGCTGAGAGCCCCCTCCCACACCCACAAACACACACACACACACAGAGAAAACCAAAAGCCACCAGCCACAATTAAAAAAAAAAGAAAAGAAAAGAAAAAAAAAGCAACCCTCAACCACCCAGCAAAATCAGTGCAGTTGACGGAGTGAACGCTTTCCTTCCGCAAAGGGAGGCGGCGCGGGAGCCGCGGAGCCCGACGAGGAGAGGCAGACGGGAAGCAGCGGGCGAAGAGCAACCCAAAAGTTGCCGGCGGGGGAAGATGAGCCCAAAAGTTGCCGGCCGGGGTTGGGCAGGAGTGCTCGGAGAAAGCGCATTCCCGCGGCGCAGAGAGATCGCGGGTCTTTCACGCGTGGGGAGCGCGGGGTTCCCGCGGGGTACGCCGGGCCGTGGTCCCGTATCCCGCGTGCCGCGTCCCGCCCGGCGCCCGCCGCGGCCGGGATGGATGGAGGTGGCCGGGAGCGAGTCGGTGCGGGCGGGAGGAGTGCGGGGAATGTCATTCCCCCGCCTGCTTTGCATACGGGGGAGGGCACCGGCCAATCACGCCCGCACGGGGCGCGGCCGCGGCACGGGGGCTCCGGGAACCGGCGCGGGGTGTGCGGGACACCGCCACGGCCACCCCGGGACACCGCCACGGCCACCCCGGGACACTGCGGACACCCGCGGGATGGGGATGCTCAGGCGCGACCCCCGGCTCTGCCCATCGCTCACCCCACACCCGCTCCCACCCGCAAGGTGCCCGCAGAGCCACAGACGCGTGTCCACCGCCAGCCACGCACCTCACCCGCCAGCCCCCAGGGGTTTGCTCCGGGGACCCCCGCGACAGCCACCGCCGGGTGGGCGTCCCCGCCGCCTCCCGCCCCCGGACACGCAGCCGGTGTGCCGGGGACCGGGATCCCGGCTGGGGGGCATCCCTCCCACCCTTCCTCCGCCACAGCCCGGCCGCGGGGGCAGCGCGGCCGGGAATAGCCGGGAACAGCCGCACGGGCATCATCGGGCCGCCGGCGCTGCCCCGCCGGCCGGTCTGGACCCCGCGGAGCCGGTGGCGAGGATGCCGCGTGGAGGCGTGGCTGTGCTTTCGGGCCGGGTCGGGGATTTTGGGGTTTGGTGGCTTTCTTTTTTTTTTTTTTTTTTTTTTTTTTTTTTCCGGTGCTGGTCGCGAACGTCGCGTAATCCAGACTGGGATCGCGGCGATCACCCGGGCTGGGAACGGGGGGATAACCCAGACTGGGATCGTGGCCATCCCGACCCGGCGCCGCCGCTTCGGGAGAGCCGCCGCCCGTCCCCGCCGCGCTCCGGGCGCGGGTTTGGGGTTTCCTCCGTCAAGTCTCACAAAACCCCCTTCCCACCGCATCTCCCCGCCCCTCCCCACGGCCACCCGCGCGTCGCCTCCCCCTCCGCCGGCCCCGCCAGCTCAGCGGCAGCCGCGGCGGCGGCGGCGGCCGGGCGGGCTTTGAAGGGCAGCGGCAGCAGCTGCGGTGGGTGGGAGGGTGGGAGTGGCGGCGGGGGACCCCGGGACCGCCCCCAATCGGGGGGAGCCGCGCCCGGAGCGGGGTCGGGGCCGGGACCCCGCGGGGGGGGCGCTCGGTGCAGTTCCCGGCGCGGCCGCTGGAGGGAGCGCGCAGCACGCCAGCGCCCCGCGGGAGGGGGCACAGCGGGGAGACCCCCGGGATACCCCTGAGAGACCCCCGAGATACCCGGGAGACCGCCGGGACACTTCCAGGAGACCCCCGGGACACCCCCGGGAAGGGCGGGTGCCGCCCCCTCGGGAGCTGCCCCTGCCACGGACCATCCCCGATGGGGGCTGCGACCCACCGCATCCCCCGGGAGACCCCCACTCCGGGAGCCCCTGACACCCCCCACCCAGCCCGGGGCGATGGCAGGACACGGGGGGATCCTTGGTTTCCCCAAACGCTCCGGAGTTGGGGAACCGACTGTCGGTAGGAGCGGTGGGGGAAGGAGCGGACAGCGGGTCACTGCCATCGCTGCCGCCTGGTTAAACGCAAATAAATTGGAAAGAAACAAACACTAAACAACTACACTGAAAGTGCCCCGGAGAGAAATCTGCTGTCGGGACAGGGATGCACCGAGTGTGCGTGGGTTTCCTCGCATCCCTCCGGAGCGAGTCGGGAGCGCCCTCCCCTCTACCCCCACTCCACACCGGGGGTTTGCAGCTTCATCCTCCCCTCCTTCCCCTCCTCTCCCTCCTTCTTGTCCTTTGCCAAAGGACGAGGGGACGGTTTTCGGGTCCTGTCATTCCCCTCTCCGCACTAGCGGCCGGTCCCCTGTTTAAAGAAGCAGCCGAGTTTGGCTCTAAAGCCCCTTGACACCAAGTTGTGTGTAGTTTTCTTACTTTGCTTTCTTTCTTTCTTTCTTTCTTTTTTTTTAATTAATTTTTTTTTTTTTTGTTCACGGCTACCTCTGTCTTGTTTGAAATTATCCCGAAATTTAAATTACGTTTCTGTTTTAAGGGAATTACATATATATATATAAATATATATATAAATATCAGAACAAATGGCTGTTATAAACCACAGCTTCAAAGCCATTTGAGGTGTCTTAGTGTCTGATAACTTTTTACGGGCGTGGCAGAGATAAGAAGAGTTATTTTACTGACGCGCACGCATCTCCTAAAATGTGAAAATATACAGTGTTTGCTCGGTTGTTTCTTCAGTCGACGGGCAGGGAGGATTTTATATTTAAATTAATGAATACGCTGAGCTGAATTTCAGTCCCTACTTTGCATCCCGCCTTCATTTGAGCTCCTTGTTGTAAACACAAAATAAACGCGACCGACGCACGTGGAGAGACACGGAAAGGGACAAAGCGACACGACTTAAAAGACAATACAGTTTTCTATAGAAAATACAATTTCCTATAACTTCCCGGCGTTATCAACGCTGAGATGCAGGGCGTTTATGGAGATAAACGCGGCGATTTTCTCTTTAGCTACACAGAAGCTTTTTCGAGGGAAGTTGAGGAGTCAAATAAGAGAGAAAATAGCGTGGCGAGGTTATTTCGATGCAGATCGAGCTATTTATTTTACGCGCCCTTTAGCACTAACTACACGTGGGTTACTGGGTTGCTTTTGGAGTTTTATGGGGGGTTTATTTGCGTTCTTTTTATTTATTTAGTTAGTTAGTTTGTTCCTTTAGCCAATTCAATGAATCATCTTCCTTATAATTTTATTTTTGCCACTCTCACAGGTATTTACCGTCCTCTGGCGCAGGTACTCCGGAAAAATAGGAATTAAGGAGTTAAGCAACTTGCGGGGGGATCAGTAACGAGGCACAGCAAGGAAACGACGCAGCGCTGATGTCCCTTCTCACACGAGAACACTTTTTTAGCACCCCTAAAGGTCCAGACTTGCGCTCCGACAGCCTTTTTGAATCCTTTCGAAGCAGGAATCGCGACGGGGTGTTGAAACTTCAGCGATTCGCATCCAGCGCCGCTGACATCTGCGTTTGGGCATCAGCTCATCGCAGCCCCGAACAAACCACAAGCCAGCCTCTCTATTTCCCTCCGTCGGACGGGATTCCTCGGCCACAAAACGCCGAGTTTTTTGACGTAACGCGCTCAAGGAAAAAGCCTCGGAGAGAGAGCGCAACAATTTCGGGATGGGTTTTAGGCGACCTAAACTGCAAAGATTCCCCGACGTTCAGCAGGGGAAATATTCCCTGGCCAAGAAAGCAGCTCTGGGCATTTATTTATTTATTTTTTTTTCTGGAGGGGGTTTGGATTTGTGAGGGACAGGGGGAAACTTGCACCAGGAAGGCAACGAACAGTTTTTGTTCGAGGGAACGGGGGAAAAACGCAGAGCTTGATGGAGAACCCGGAGAAACCCAGAGAACTGGCGACAGGCTAACGCTTAAAAACGTGCCCAACCTCCGTCTGAGCGGTGGAATGGCGCGGAAATCTCGGCAGGGAATGCAATTACTTGAGCACTTAAATGTTTGGAGCGTCAATGGGGTTATTCAGGGGGTCTCTCCTGCCTCTTGCACCTGAATTCACTTTATAGATGTATTAAAAGCCT